TTCATCTTGTTGAAGACATCGTCATTTTGAGTATTGTCTTCTTGTTCAGCCTTGGTGAACACCGATTTTTACTACTCGTCTAAATTTATTATTAGTAAAATGCTGTAGTTTAGGGTGAAGTAGGGTTTACCCTTTTGTTTCTAGTACATTCTTTTTAAAATGAAAACGAGTGATAGATACAGGTTAACAATCATACATTGTTCTTTTTTTTCTGTCTATTTCTATATGCTTTTTTTCCTGACAGTTAAAGTTTTCAGTGACTATTTTGTATTTTTATCAGCGGGCATAGCTTATTGCTAGTAATCAGAATGGTTGTGCGTGTTTCATAATCACGTTCTTTCTTTAGTTTTTCTTCTTTTCTTTTATTGCCCTACTTAATTTTTATTCATTGCGTTATTACTGACTGATTATTAACAGAGACAAGTAAGAAGGAGTAAGCAGTATTTCAGAAGGTATTTTCGAGCAGCCAGCAGTCCATATTGCTGTTGTTCAGATGGAAGCTTCAATGGGATTCCATTAATAGCGTTTAACGCAGGGTTACAAAATCGTACAAGAGTAACATCAGAGCAGTACTGTAGAAAGTTGCATAGTTCCATCCAGAAAGAACCAAGTGTCCTATACTTTAAGGCAACTTGGACTAACAACTGAAGACAACATCTGTAACAGTATGTTACTTTACTCACATGACTTTTCGGTGACTCTACTTTTTTATTTGAAAATGTACAACTGTATTTCAAATTTACTGTTCCTGAGAAAATTTTTTATAACGTATCATAGGACCTTACATTATATATTGTAAGTACTTTTAGTCATTTGCATTCGTTGTCGACGATTTTCCTGCCGTATACAATAGACAGAAACATCGTCTAAACGCTACAATGGAGAAAGCCATGCTATTCGATTTTGTCAATAGTTCACCCAGAGAAAGTGTCGCATTAAATTCACTTTCATCGTTTGCAAGTCATGTTTCCAACATTGTGAAGTGCCCTTCCTTTATGGTTCGTGATTTGTCTCTTGTAAAAAGTTAGCGGTGCAAAAAAACTGTGTCAGCGATAAATTTAAGGATTACGAAGAACTTCGATTCTTATGTTGTTGCTGAAATTATAGGCGTTTTTTTTAACGCTCAGTGAAACGTAATTTCAGGAGGGGAAAGTTGGTGGGATGGCAGAGGCTGTTTTGAACGGAGAGCAATTTCAAAACAAAGGTCAAGTAACACCGACCAAAACAAATTCCAAATTGGAGGACAACTTCAAGTTGGCGTTCCTGTTGAACAACAGTTACTGAGCTTTATACTACTATTAAACTCAGTTTATTATCACCACATTTAATTCAATTTGAATATTGCTTTTTCTTTTCCGCTTTTTTAAATGTTCTTTTTCACCAATCAATATATCTTATCATGTTTTCTGCCTCATACTGTATCTTTTATTTTGTAAAACAAGCTTTATTGTAAGTTGCACTTTACTTTTTATGTTTTGTACTAGAACTTTTTAATGATTTCTTTTTTTTCTATAATACGAACATCGCATCCATCAACTGCTTGTCACCACTGAAAAATTTGTCGTCAAAGCGACTTTCAACATCAAAGAGATTAGTCTTGGCTGTTAATGCAAACTGCAATTGGGGAGGAGGCTCTTCAGTAATACTTTTCGACCGTTTATCAGTTTGTGAAGTCAGTCACCAAAGACAACTTCAGCTTGTTGCGGATAGATACCGACACGCTCTGGGAGGAAAAAATTTTTTGTTTGTGAGTGCTAAAAGATCTGCGTGTTGTGGAAGCAGTTATGCCTTCTCATGGAAGAGTTTTTGAGAAGCTGTTTATCTGTCAATATGGTGGTAGGATGCAACAACGGCCAGTCATTTAATGAGGACGGAAAATTGTCGTTTGGAGCATGGACAGTAATGAGCGTCTTTTCCAGGTTTTCCGCGTTGTCCAGTAGGTCCTCGTTCTCCTGGACTGCCTGGTATTCCAGCGTCTCCAGGCTGCAAATGAGGAATGTGTAAGAATGCTAGATGGAAATTTGCACAGTAAGTTTCTAGTCTCAAAGTTGAGGGGGAATAGCAGAATCTTCTTCTACTTAGAAAGCTTAAGTTCTCTTGTTAGAACAACATTTGTGGAGACGGCTAACGAGAGTTCTTTCTATTGCTTGTGAAATAGCTTGCTTGTCGAAGCTGAAGGTTCAAGAAGGCACAACAGTAAAGGATTTTGTCATATTGATCTTCATGAAATAACACGGTAAAACTGTTCATTACCTGTCCCGTCTGCCCTTCTCTTCCTGGCTCACCATTCGTACCTGGTGGCCCAGGAGGTCCTGGTTCGCCACGCATTCCGGGGAATCCCTTGGGACCAGCCGGACCAGGCGGACCTTTCCTAGTCGTTGTTCCATCTCCTCCTGGTGGTCCTGGGGGCCCAACTTCTCCATCAGGTCCAGGACTACCTGTTATTCAATAATTAATTAGTCAGGTAGTTAGGTATTTTGCTTTATTTACTTTCTTAATGTTTTACAGCCTGAGAAAAATGAGTAATTATCGTTGCGTAGCTTTGGGGGTTAATATTTTATCAATGTATTTCAGCTGTGAGCGGAAACAGTCCCATTTTCTGTATTTAATTGTCTACAAGCTACCAGTGCTAGTTTTTCATAAAACAGGTAGTTTGCTCAATTTCACGGTAAAAAAACTTGCAAGCAGACAAATGGACTTTCTAATGAGTTTTCACTAGATTCATCATGCTTAAGAAAACCTGCGCACCCACAATTCACAGCTGCCAAAAGGATTGCTTGAACCAATCAACAAAAACAGATCAGGCTATTGCAGAGTACTGCAGATTTTTATTGTAAAAAGTTATTTACAGTTATCCTTCAGTCATTCTCTTATTTGAATTATTTCTTATCGATAATAATGGTGTGACTCGTAATTTTTAAACGTGCATCTATGCCCTTAGGCCTTCTCTCAAGGCACCCTTTACTTTCATTTAAAGCTGCGGAATTTTGAAATTAGCCCTACAAAAGTTTTGCGGGAAAATAAATCAAAAAATGAAGCAAAGCTTTAGAGCCGCTATTTTTCCCGAAAAATAATTTATGCAATACCTGGCAGTCCTGGCATACCCAGAGGACCGCGACTTCCAGCTTTTCCATCTGGGCCAGGGATTCCGGGTTTTCCCTTGTCGCCAGGTGGTCCTGCGGGCCCAGGTGGGCCTGGAGGTCCGATTGGTCCGGACGGACATTTCATACAGCCAGCATCTTGCTGTTTTTCCATTAGAGGAACTATACCAGGAAGACCAGGAATTCCTAAAAGTCGTTTTTAGCCAGTTTCAGGTTCAGAAATTCTAGTTGTTTTTAGCCTTTATTTTTTTAAAACAAAATCCCAACAATGTTAAAGTAACCTTTCTGCCCAGGCAGTCCGGGCTCACCAGGAAGACCAGGTAGACCAGGACGTCCTGGAGGGCCTGCTGGACAAAGGTTTCCGTTCTCACAGTTACAAGTTTTTAGAGTTTGACGCTTTGGGCGTAATTTTGAAATTATTTTTCGTGAGTGGGAGATTTCTTGCCAGATATCTTCATCTAATTCCTAAAATAAGTTACTGACTATAAGTTTATATTTCATAAATCTATTTATTTAGTGTCGTGACCAGTTATTATTACTTATTTTCTTTTTACCGATCTGTTTTTAGTTTTCAGAAATGACAGTAGGAGGTTTGTTGAGAAGATAACACACTGAAGCGTCAAAGAGCTTAGTTACTAGTTTTATCTGTTTTACTCACAACATATTTTTTACTGTTTCAAAAGATAATCAAGTTACCCTAAATTTATCCATTTTAACATTAATAGTCTCTCGTATTTCATCCATACGGGCGAGTAAATATGGAATGTAGAAAAGAGATGCTGTTATGATGACTGCCGAGACGCAGCTTGACAGATTTGCTAAGTTCCGACTCATTGGCGGCCAATTTGATGCAGTAACTATTCTTTTGTATTTTCAGCATATTTATAGCGCACAAAAAAGCGCGACTGAAAATTGTTAAAAACAGGAGAAAAAAGTATGTTTTTTTTTTCACCATTATAATATTTAGTGATCAAAAATTGATAGTCTGAAGTGATCACTGAACAAGTTATTACAGTAGTAGTGAAGAGCAGCTTTTTGCCAAGTAAACAGGAAAAGTGGTATTTCGTTGACCTTGCTGATGCAACGTTGACAGTAACGAGCAGAACAGTTTTGGCTGAAACGGAACTGCAAACTTTTTGTTTGCGACCCTATTATGGCGTTAATGGGCTATTAATTATTATTTAGGCATAAACTATTGCTGTTACTGATTAATTTTCAAGCAGAACAACGTTAATAAGAGCAATCAACATTTCGGAAAGCTAAAGGAAAAAAACCAATGTTTCAAAAGACTGCTGACGTAGTGCCTCTAAAATATAAAAGAAAACAAAATTAATTTTTTATAAATTTGGTTTTTTAAAACATACTTTTGAAAAAATACTATAATTTTGAAAATTAAGAAGTGTAGTTGTATTTTACTGGTAATGTACCAAACAAATACTATGCAATTGGTAGGTTACTGGAGTGTATGGATTTTCGCATAAAATCATCAAATTGACACAACCGCTTAATAGACAGCAAAGTAAACTGAAGCAGGATTCATGCTGTCAACAGTTTCAATCATACAGCTGCTTAGTAAATTTGTTTGAAATAAACGTGTGGTTGTTGTTAACGATACATCGCTTGCAGTCCAGTTTCTAGTGGGAAAAAAAATCCATTTAAATAGTTGGGTTTTGAAAAGTAAGTTTGTAACAGTGCAGAAGAACTGTACAGTAGTGAGGTGAGCGTTGTGACTGCTGAAGAAAACTGGATTTATAACAGTCTCAACAAAATAAATAAATAAAGAAACTATGAATTTCTTCTTCAAAATATGGCAAACATTTAAATATTTTGTTGCTTCAAATAAAAGCAGCAAGCAGTGTTGATTACACACATCTGGTCTGACTGTTAAAGCATCTTCTCCCATGCTTTGCAGAAGCTTGCTATTTGATAATTTTCTGACTGCTTTAATAGGTACAGAATGACATTTTCCAATCTATAACCTACCAAATGCCAAATTTCGAGAGTACTATAGGCTGGGATAGCTACAAAAATGTTGTAAGGTACCATCAAAGATTGATCAACAGGGCTAACTTACGTTTCACTTTCTTTCCCATGCTAAATTTATGTTCTTTTCACTAACAGCTAAACACTGAACAAGAGTCGCGCTATTCAGTAAACCATCTCATAAAGAAGAGAGAAAATTGAATACAAAACCTTTGAAAATTTTCTAATTTCAACTTATATATTTTTCAAAAGAAAAAAAAAATGATTTCAGCGGACAACCCAATCAGTACAGTTCCTTTGCTTTAAACTACTCTAAGTAGATAATAAAAATTTTTCAGTAGTGCAAATAAAGCAATGAGAAGAATAACAATGACAGCCATAAAATGGCAAAAAAAACATGACTTTTGCTACAATATTTCATCTCATCACACAAGAAACTGCTGTTCCATTAATTAAATTTATTTGCAGAGGTAATTTTTGTTTGTTTTTACAGTTAAAACTTCCCTCCAACCTTCAGCAGAAGTTCCATTAGCAAAAATTACCGACTCAAAACTAAACAAAACTATCCATTATCAAAATGAAAACACAAAAAAATAAGTGCCGAGTAACACTGACATTAAGCAATACTAACAGTGGTACTGATGTCAACATGAAATTGGATGAAGACTGTTTATGATAGCCATTGAATCTTTCACAGTATCCTCGACACTGTGATTACCGTTAACAGTATAAAAGTTACTCTCATTATCAACAAGCTCTAGCGTAGCCAGTTGACTATCTAGTAACCTCTGGTCGACAAAATGACCTTTTCGATTCTTTAATCGTTCTTCCAGTTGATTTCTGAAACAATAATTTACCTTGTCTACAGCTGTTGTTGTACTTTTCAACAGTAACAAGTAATATCAAGACCGTTTTCAAGTGCCATTAAGCTTTAAAGTTACCTAATTGAATAAGGAGTAAAAATCACAGTTTCTCCCTTGTACTTTATAATTTCTACCAGTAAGTTATAGAACAAAAATCAAAAAATTGATATTATGAACTGCATAACCAGTTTTGTTCAACCCCCTCTCCTATAAAGGGAAAAATCAAAGTTGAAAAGTGATTTCTCAAAAAAAAATTTCAAAATCAAACCTTTCAACGTCAAGGTACAAAAAAATATATTTGTTCTTCGAAAGATTACTGCTAAGCATCTGTCTATAGATAAACTTCAAGCTGGAACATGCAATTACTACTTGATCTGTCGAATTAGCAGCTATTTCTGCAATTTTTTGCAACCAGGGATATCTGTCCTCATCTTTCAGAGCAATTCCTAATAAATCATAAGTGCTATTGAAAATTATAACAGTTCGTTGATACAAATAAACAAACTGCAGGTATCAGTCTCTAGCAGTAAAAATTAATTTAATATTTAATAAACTGGAGATATTTGTCAATAGACAACAACTAGAAAAATCAATGATTCAGAAAATGCTTATAACTAGACGAAAACAATGTTATGAACAAAATCGCTTTTTCAGATTTCTCCATGGATTACCCGCTAAGATTTTAATCTGTACGTGCATAAAGAAATACTACAGTAATTATATCTAATAACCATTTGCCATTTTTAAGCGATTTTCAATTGAATGATAGTCATCTGCATCAGTAAACTTGGCGTTAAGTGTTTCGGCTAACTTCTGACCCACGGTCGTCTTTCCGCAACCCGAAACACCCATAACAAAAATGCAGTCCAGTTTTGTCATCGAAATATTACTGCTACTGTCATATTTCATCTCAGTTATGTCTGTTATTCCATTTCTATAAGCATGAAAAATATTCATGTCAAAAACTGAGAAGGAAATTCGTTTCACTAAAATCTATTTGAAGCTGACAAACAAACAATGATACCGTTGCTATTCCGCTACTGACAAAACAAAATTTAAATTCACTTAACAAGTTCTGAGTTCCGTTTAATTTTCAAACAAAACACCTAAAAATATCTTATATTGAAAATTAATTTCAAAGTGACAACTCATAAATTTGACAAATGAGTAATGGTAAGTGTTTTCTAGTTCTTCTGTCGAAAACTACTTGAATTTTTGATGTAAACGACGAATGATTGGTAAGAATTCAAAGAAACAACTGCTTCACTTTAAAATAAACAACACACAAAACCAAGTACATTTAAAAACTTTCTTTTTCAACAATACAAAACCATTTCTTCCGTCACAGGCTGAAACTTGTACGTATACCAAAGGAAACAATAAAAAATTTAATGAAAAATCAGCTTTTCTAACACAGCAATACCACAGAAAAAAATTCATTTATTAAAACCCTTTTCACAACGCTAACCGTAGTTACAGAACAAAAAAATCTGAAAGAAAAAAAAAGTAACTAAGAATCTCACCTACTGACAATTTCAATAAAACAAACTTCTGAAAAAATCAACAAAGTTCTCATCTTGTCACAGTTTAACATAGCTTTCGGCTTGCACCTACTGAAACAACTGTCAGACTTCAGAACAAATCCAGAAAAGGATAACGATTTATGAACTTCACCTGAAACTTGAAAAAAATTCTGCAAAATTGACTTCTAAGTTCCTGAAAAAAAAATGTTCGGCCCATTTTACTGTTCACAGAAAACCATTTATGGAAAAAGGAATAGATAACAAAACTAAATATTGATACTGTCAAAATCGTTTGAGAAAAATAAAATCATTAACACTTTGGCCAAAGAAGTCAGTTACACCACAAAATATGTGAAGATCTGCTGCTACAACATTTGTGATGTGAAAACACCATAACGCAGTTAAAGTAAAATTTTCAGAGCTTTTCCTTCTCCAAATAAACCAGAAAAGCCGATTTTAATTAACATAATACTTTACAATTAAAGCAAAATGGTATTACTAAATAAAGAAATTAATCTTAGAATACAGTTTACATACACAACAAGATGTAACAATATAAACAACAAAAAAATTCCTCGTAATTTATTCCAACAATAGCTACAGCAACTTTTAAAGTTATCTAAAGCAGAAGAACGTATCTAATTACTGTTACAAAACCCGGTAAAAAAAAGAGGTAAACTTAAAAAATAATTAAATTACTTAGATAAAGTTACTTAGTCCTTCTCGCTTGATAAATAGTCGCATTGAAAGGTAAGTTAATTGTGTGAACAAATTAGGATCCAAATCATGTTACCATAATTCATAATTTTTTTCGTGGTGCCAGATGTGCAAAAGGGACCATATGAAAATACCGAGCAGCAGACAAATAGAAGGAGACTAAAAATTTCTAATTTATATTGTAAATTTGAATTGCAATTTTAATTGGCAATAATTGTACTATTTATTGCAAAAAAACAGTAAGTTAATAAATTAATATATTGATAAATCACACTAAAATTAAAAAGGTTAGAACTCACACAAAAATTTATAGTAAGAAATTGGTAAATTAAAAGGGGAATCAAAAGCGAAAGAATGATTCCGGTTAAAAAAAACTATTTTCATTCATTTGATATGTAACATAACGAAAGTTCAGTAAGATATGTCATACTATTCCAGCAGTTATTCATATTCGGGAACTAAAAATTCATTTCAATTTAACTTTACACAGATAGAGCACACTGCCAATCAATTATGAAGTTTGTGAATATCGTTCAAATCAGCAATCGCTTGTAAACGAAAGTGAAGTTAATGAAACCACCAACCGACTGCTAATAGACGTACGCATAACTGTATGCGAGGCCTTTTAACGTAATAACCACCTTGTGTAGCATGAAGAATGTAATAGCCTATGCCAAGAAAAGTTGCAGTACCGATGTAACGACATGGCTGACAATCTTTGGTATACAATTCGGTAACAATCCTTTCACTATCTTCCGCATTAGTCATTCGAAGAATTTATCTAAAAAAATTAAAATTTCCATAATCTCCTATGATAGAGCCACGAATGGTTGAGCATACTATAACAAGCAATTTATAGAAAGAAAATAAGAGATGTCCATAAAGGCGAACCTGTAGAAATCAACAGAATTTGAGAAGACTTGTTAATACCATCTATAGAAAGATAATTAACAAAAGTATAGATTTATTGACATCTGATTTGAACGGATCTTTATTAAGGAGCAAAACCAGATCAAAGTACAGAGAATGCACTTATTATACAACTATAATCTGATGTTATATGCATAGTCTTACAGATGTCAAACAAGTCCCCAGTGAACAGCATAGCACGAATTAACTGTGAAAATTGTTTGGAAGCTTCCAATCAATGAAAAAACTTAATTAGTTAAAGTATGCCTTTATTTAAACTGCCTGTAGCACACTGTTACGCCTGAGAGTAGAAAGCTACGTTCCTATTGAAACAAACTATTCAGTTATATGTAGAACGGTGAACTTTGAATTTCTAAACTAGTTATCTTACGAATACATTAAAAACAATTTATTAGCTTACAGCGAAGAATAACGCACAGTTACAGATATAAATTACATCCATATTAGAAGCCTTATTCTTTTTCCTTCCAAGTTGTTATCATCATGAATATCACCTATGAGTCGTTACTAGCAAACGGTGCTAATCCTCGTGCACTTGCAAAAGACAAGTATAAGCAAACTGAAATTAGTGAACTTTTAATACAAAGTTTACTGTTGCCTCCCTCGTGAAATTTCTTATTACTAGTAAGAAGCTCATTGAATCTAGGTTTTAAAAGAACTAAGAAAATAAAACAACGGCAATCCAAAAAACAAGCAGTTAGGTGTAGCTAACCGGCAAATCCCACAATAGCTTTACCACGCCTGGCCGAGTCTATTTGACGGTTAAAACACCGGAGAAGTAAGGCTGCAGTTAATCCGGTACACAAAACCTGGAAACTTGAGCGAAATGAAAACCGACTCTTCTTTTCTTCCTGAACACTTGATGGTTCAGACATCTCCTAAAAATACATCAGAAGTTACAGAAACGCCTCCTACTCTATATCAAGCAAAACTCTATCGGCACATCCGCAAATTCAAAACATTATTCCGAGTGCCACTTCACTGGACTAGGAAATCCCCACTCTATCTTCCTGAGATAATTTGACTGCTGCATATTCGCAACTCAGTCTCAACGCATTAATGGTAAACGCTGATTTAAGTGAGAAAATTTTATCAACCATATTAACTACAAATTCACGAAAGTATAGTTCAGCGATAGAGAGTATAAAAATGATATTATTAAAAATAAACATTTTTAGGCAAAATAAAAAATGTAGCAAAATACTACCGCAAAGACCTCACTGGTCAAGACCAGCAACAAACACGGTGATTCTGTAACAAAAATTAATTCGAATTAGTTCAAACCTTCAAAAACAACATTAACCCTCCTTGTTTACTTTTCCCAATACAAATCAGGGCAAAAAATTGACAGGTTAAAAAGCAGAGAGCAAGTGCTAAAAAATTTTAAAAAGAAAATAATTAGAACAGTGAAAGTCATGAAGAACGTAAAAAGTTAAGAAACCTTCGATGCTTATTTCACTATAAACTGATAAACGCTTTCTTGGAAGGAATAATTCAGGTGTTTTGAGTTCTAAAACTATTGGTACATACCGAGTAAACCGTGAAAAGTTTGATGAAATGCAGCAAAGGGCGACAGGAGACAAACATTGCTATTTAACACTATAATCCCAGAAACTACTGCCACATATAATATTTACAAATTTATTAATCCTTAAGATCTATTTCATCACACGTTACTGGCTGTTTCAATGGAACCATTGACTTCTTCTCTACATCACGGGGCAGAGCTTTTCGCATATCTAAAGTAAGGAGAGTTAAACAACTGCCAAGTGGTAACGCGATACTGTACTAGGTAGTTTACGCCATCATTTAATTGTAGTTAATTATATAAACTAGAACTTTAAATTAAGGGAGAAGAAATACTACAAAATAAAATAATGTTAAAAAAATAGAACCAGAAAAGAAAATCGATAGTTTAAAAAAACCAATCACTGCAGAGTACCTGTTTTGAAAAAAAAAATCTTTTTTTAATAGCATTATGGCATCTTTAGTGACCTAACAAATCCTGTAACCATCAATGAAGAAAAAACATAAAGGTAATACCGCAAAGCCTTAAATCTCTTAGAAAAGCTGAAAAGTCTCACCAAACGCATCTTCCTCCTTCTCGCCTGAATAATAATCAATTATCCTCCTGTAAACCACGTATCCCAATGATTTATACATACTTATAGCAACCGCATTACTAACCCTAACAAACAAATCCACAAAGTAGCATTTCTTCCTAAAAAATTATCATCAGAAACCTCTGAACAATAAAAAAAAATCAATCTATAGGCGCAGCTTTTTAGAAAAAGTGTTGTACGATTTCAGAAGATGACGAACATGGTTGATATATCTTCAAGTGTCTGCATCATCCTAGCAGCAAGATGAAGACGTCGATAACTCGGTGCAACGGTTACTGCAGTAACATGCCCATGCCAATTCTCTCTGTCACCTTCTGCTTTCCCCATAACTTAAAAAAATGATATTACTTCATACCTGTAACTGACAATTTTTTGTAGAAATTGTTTTTTTGATGGTAGATGACGCTTTTTTGATGACGCTGATGGTAGAATGAAGTTAATATTAGTGTTAAAAATTATCAGTATAACAGCTAACTTTTCTGCAATAACTAGCTCTAACCAAAAGATGCCCTATATGTACGCAGAATAACAGTTTCAACTTACCATAACCCATGATTTCACCTGACGGGTGTTGGCAAACTTGAAAATATTCAGGGTGATTTATTAGATACTGAATATAAAAGTAGAACCCGTACTAAAAAAGATATTTTAAGAATCTGCAGTGCAAAATCAATTTCAATAAAAACCCTAAATGGCAATTTAGCACTATAAAAAGAAAAAAAAATAGATAAATAAACTCACTGTTTCAGTAAGAGGGTCCAAATTCCTAAAATAAACATTACTATTACTATAATTTCCGAAAGTTGGCAGGTAGAAACTGTAGACTAATCATTAGGAATAATATAAAATCACACAAACTAATGTTTCTTCCTTTAATAATTGTTTTCCCAATAAATAAAATTATTCAAAAGCAGACCGTATTCATTGACATTAGACTGTAAGGTCAAAAGGTTCACAAAACTGGTTTCCAAAGAAAAAAAAAAAGAGTGACGGCTTACACATTATTAAATTTAAACAGGTCAAATACATCAAATGGACGTATTGTAGCCATTGTTCCTTACAAAAGACTTCCCGAGTAATAGCTGAATGAAAACAAAGAAAACCTCCGCGTCCAAAAAGCGGGCAAATCTGTAAATGGTAAACGTGACCATCGTTAAACGCTGGAAATAAATTAGGAATTTAACTGTCGGCAACAAAATACTATTACGCTTACGACTGAAAAAACGGATCATTCTCCAATTTATCTATACTCACAACAGTTGCAGTTTCACTTGTAATTGATAGCCGAATTAAATGCGTTTCAAACATCTTTTAAGCAGAATTAAAAAAAAAAAAATGTAACGAAATTTTAGAATGGAAATTTCTGAAGCAAAGCTGAATGTTTCTGGAGTTAAGTGAACCATCAGATGAGCATTATGCAGCTCGTTAAAGATTAAAATTTATTGAGATAGCTATAACATAACAAAGACATCAGAACATATGGAAGCATAGCTGTTGCTTGCAGAACAGAATCTAACAGAAAAATTTAACAAGTACAATTGCGGTACTTTTCGACCTACGAGCCTCCTCCGAGCGCCTGCAGAATATGACATTGAGAAAACTAAAGAAACCAGAATTGGCAAATTTCCAATGTTCAGTTTTACGATTCAGCTGCATCGTTCGGTACAGATCCTCTTTGATGCAGTTGACCTTTTCTTTCCGAATGTTTAATTTGATCTTACGGGCGGTTACTCTGATTTCTGATAGAAGGCTACAGAAAGTGATTGGTTTTGGTAGTAATAGCGATGACTCGATGGCCGCAATTTGCTTATGCTGATTGTTGAACCCGAACCTCTCTTTATATAAGAAATGGCAAAAATCAGCTCCTAAGTTGTGTTTTGTCGTTACGATAAATATGACTGATGTGAAAAATAACAACGCTGTTTTACGAGCAATTTGTTTATAAATTTCCATTGACATTAGTTAAACGTCCACCTGAAACTGTATGACAACGTGGAAACAGCTGATTCTGAGGTACCAAATTTTGCGTCAACTTAAGTGTCTGACTTTCTAAAGGGCTGGTAAAACAGAACGGTAAAAAGACGAATTGGGATTTCCAAGTTTAAAATTTCAGCAGTTTTTGAGGACTGAATCACATTTTCTTATTGCTAGTTTACTGCGCATGCAATGATTCAAGATGGATGAACAGTAAAGTGAGCTTCCCGTTTACGGTTATAAGAATTTTTATTGTTATTGGGTGCACATAGTCATTTTATTGATGGTGATTTCCGTTTGAAAGTATTTCCGTTTCAAAGATTTCCGTATTTCTTTGAGTTTTTTAAAATTTTCTGTCACACGTTTTTTAACTCGGTGAGTAGTTTCTGCCAACTGACAGGAAGAAAAGTCCCATTTTTTAAGCCCTACCAGAATTATTTCGTTTGAGCACCCACAAGCTGTAAAGTTTTGAAACTGCTGCTCAAGACAACTTTGTTGAGTCGTTTTTCAGGGCTGTTAGCGCTGTTAATGCGAGTTCCGTTTCGTTATCGGGTTGGAACTTTTTTTTTTTGCATTTAATAGACTACATCACTGAATAGTCTCTGTGTTTAATCGCAATATCATCAGTTTGTTTACAAATTTATATCATATTACTTCAATTTTTTGAGAGACGAGTGCACTGAAGTTATCGACTGTTTCGCTGGTTTCTGCTCTTTGTTATATATACATGTATGATTGATTTGGTGGACAGAGTGCTTGGATGAAACTGGAAAAAACAGCTGACTTCCAAGAGCCACAGACGCGCACATTTACATATGTCCTAAAACACCCGGGTGGAGCCGAGCAAAAAATAAGCTTTGACGTCCAAATTCCTCCTGACGAGTTTCAGGATATCGATGAATATATTGCTCACATTATTGCTTCCAATCATGTTTCAAGGCCTTTCCAAGAAGGTTCTCTTTCAGCTTACAGTTTGTTCGGTTAAATTTTATACCGGTTTACTTTTTTCATTTCAAGTTCCAACCACTGACTGTCAGAAGCGTATGATTTAGTCTTCATTTAGATGTAGCAAAGGCCTTTCGTGAGTTCATTGACTGCGAGATTGAAAGTTACGAAGACAGAATTGGAGATTGTTTGGTAGAGGAAGCGTTAAAAAACTCTGAGAAGAGTGATGACGTTGTTAATTGGGTACGAATACTTACCCCTGTAAGTCCTCATTTCATCCACACCTTTCACTAGTTAAGCTTTCGGTTTTTTTTTGTCAAACTTGTTTCAAATGCATATTTTTTAACTTTGCAGAACTGTTTCGCACAAAGTGAAAGTGCATCCACTAGCTTTTGCGAAAAGTTCCAATTCGTTATGCGGAATTCATCTCACGAACGGATTGAGATGATTATCTCAATGGAAAAGAAGATGTCTGCGGAGGTTAGAACTCGTGTTGTTGAGGAATAAAAGTTCCATAAATCAGCTACCTGTAGTCTTTGTGAAACTGAATTTTTCAAATTGCAATTGGATGTTTCATATGTCACAACTAATACGAGCTCGCGATTTCGAAATGGAGATGATTGCACGAGAATGCGAAAATGCAGCAAGTAGTTCGAGTAAAGAGGGTGTTGCAGACGAAGAGCATCTACGACGGTTGAACGATCGAATAAGAGTAAGTCTTTGAGTGTTTTAAACCTCTATTTGCTTACAGGGAATGATTTTATAATTTGAAGTTAGGGGCTCTTTTGTGCTGCTTTTTAACCTTTTCTTCCGTCTCTAAAATCTCTATTTATAATTTATTAAAAGCAAGCAAACTTTTCAGGATGTAAGTGATAACTATGGGCGGCAAATTAATGCTTTGGCTGATCGGCATCGTTACGAGTATAGAAAGCTTATTTCAAGCTTGTTTGATCATGACGAGTTCCCTCCAGATGTTTTTAGTAATTTTTCAGATACAACTACTGTGGTTAAAAAGTACAGATATAAGTTATCTTTTATTAAATGGCCGATTTGCTCTGTGCTTGAGCTACCCTGTTATATTCAGAGGAAATAGAATAATCTATTATTTTTTAGATCGGCATCTGCAGTGGCTGATCTGAATAGCGCGAAACACTCAGCTAGTAACCGATTTGAAGAAAGCTTTACTATCTACCTTGGTTGGTTGAAACTACTGATTTATTTTTTCGCTAGATTTGATGTTGTTCGTTTAAAGTTTTCTTGATTTCAAGTTTTAGAGTTTAGGGGCTCAGTTGAAAACTATGCATAATATTCGCCTTCTAACAGCTCGGCGTCTGAGTGATCTCTGTCGTGTTGTTGAGGTCCTCGAAACTAATGCTTTGGATTCTAGACGTTTGCACATGAATTTATCATTATATCGGCGTGGTTTAAATGGGTTGCTTATGCTTGTCGATCGAAATCCTTATTACCACATTCATAATAGGACTGGTACGTTGAGATCTTTGCTTTTTTAGACGTGATTTTTTGAAATAGGAATTTTTCTCGTTCTTTTTAAATCTGTTAAGCTTTTTATTTCCGCTAGACTTGTGTAATTTTATTATCGTTATCACAAGTTTTACAAACAAATAACAATGATTTAGGTTTTGCTCGAATATGCGAGCAGTCAACAGAGCTTCATTTTGACTCTTTACAAAAGCAGCTAGAAGACATTAGTCGCTCGGTGTGAATTTTTAAAAATTTTTTAAAAGTATTAGGGTCATGGATTTGAAGTTTGTTGAGGTCGCATCATTAAAACATTTCTTACTGATGCTGTTTTTAGGTAGAAGAAGCTAATATGCAGCGCTTTAAAGATGTTGATTTTGAAGCTTTTGGCGAATACACTTTGCAAGTTGGAGATGTTTATATAACGAGACATTCCAGTCTGGCTTCTGTCCAGGTTTTGTCATATTGTCAGCTTATTATGAATAGGAGGGCGAGATCCCTATTGCTGCTTGTTTAAGATTTCGATAATTTTTTAAAAAAGTTATACAGGAAGTTAGTTTTTAAGGTCATTTTTCATTTGGTCGTTGATGACAATTTGGAAACTGAGGATATTTCAAGCAGGTACTGTTTTGATTTTTTGCCAGTTCATTTTAATATGACTGGATGACCTTTACTGGCTTCACTGATATTTTTCTTGCAGACATCCTTGTATTAACGGCTTGAAAAACATTATAAGACTATCATCGAAGTTTGGAATTACGACGTTTGGTATACCACTTCTTCTTGTCGAGAAGACTTCAGAAGTGAGTGCTTTTACAGCTTCTTTTAATGATTTAACTTTAGACTCTTAGTACAGTACTTCACGGAATATTTTGAATTTATTTTTTTTGTTTTATTAACTTGTTTGTGGGGCGTGATGCAATTATAAAGTTTGAAACTTGTTGTGTAGTGTAGCAAGAGCATGAATTGTGAACGATTGAAATAAGTGATAGAATTAGAGTCTGCTGCTCACGAACTGGAGAGTTTGCAGGTGCTGAGCGAATTTTTAAGCCTCATTTTCTGCCATTGCCATTTCTTTATATTAATGTGAGATTTTAATTTCAGTTGCTTTTTTTGGTTTAGAGGCGCCTAGAAAGGATAACGATGATCTAGCTATTAACAGTTCTACGACTTAATTGTTCGTTTATTTTCAGAAAATGACTGTTGCGTGGTGTTTGAAGCGTGCAGAGCTAATATTCAAGTGTGTTAAAGGATTTATGATGGAAGTTTGTGCCGGGAATTCGATAGCTGGTGGTGGTCCACCTGCAGCTGCGGTGCACTATAATGTTAATTTCATTTTACCCGATGACATAGCTGAAAATGTGTACACTCAAATTACTGAAATGTTTCCCAATATATTTCACCTTGTTCCATCAGTGACCGTTTAGAAATTCGGGATCAGTGCATATCTTTAAAATATTTTGTTACTGATGGCTTCTGGGTTTGTATTCGATTTTTACAAAAGGATTGTAATTATATTCTGTTTTATTGGGAGCAAATTGTAGATTTTATTTTACAGATTATAATTGGGTGGCAAAAATGTGTCTTTTTACAAAATTTCTACTGGTGTATTTGTTCAGTTTTGGAACTTTTGTTAAACTTTATTGTAAAATTGCATAGTTATTTTTTCAGGCTATTTATAGCATTTATGAGGTGGGTTAATATCTTCAAGTCAAGTTATTTTTGACTACATCCAATCATAACAACCAGTCAAATGTTTAGTAGACAATTGATTCAGAAAAAAAGAAGTGCATTTAATATAACTTTCAAAGAACATATTTTAAATACAGTGTGAAAGAACTGTTATGAGTAATTTCTTTTTGGATGGTCTTCTGTGGGCTATTGCAATGTTATACGTACAGAAATTGACCTCGAAGATTCGTATGAGCAATGATTAGGAAAGCATTCAATGAGCCTCGTTTTGCAGTGAAGTTATTTGGGTTTAGGTACATAAGGTTGTGTATACTTTTGCCAGTAAATAATATTGAAAAGCACGAAGGCAATTGGAAATATGTATCCTGAAATAAAAAGGTAGTGATGAATCAGTTTTTCGAATCATTTGAGTGGATTTCGGGACTATGCATCCTGATATTTTTATTGGTTTTCATCAGTACTTTTTGGTTAATGTAATAATGTACGTTTGGGGTTATGCGCACATAATTGAGTTTTGGATTGGTAACGCATAAAAGAGCTCCTTAATTGAATTCTCTCTCGACTGTTGGTGCTAGGGAGAGCAAAAAAATTTGATCAACGTTTGCGGGAAGGATGCAACTTTTTAGGACTTTAAAGTCCTGTTCGGTGTATTTTTCAAATTACTTTAATTTTTTTGACTTACTACAAGCGTAATCTGCTTTCTTCGCAGAATCCATGGTTTCAAATTTTCGTTTACACAGTTGAATTGGCTTTAGACGCAGCAACATTTCCCAGACTTTAGACTTCGCTGTTTTTTGCCGTTTGCGAAAAGGACTCATCGAAATTTCTGGTCTGTCATCTTCTGGTGTTTTCTGTCTGATCCAAACATCGTTGCATTCTAACTGAAAATAATATGCCTATAAAAGATGGCATAAATGGTTGCAATATTATACTATAAATTAAAACGACATTGCAATAAAGAGGCTAAATAACAGACAGCGTTGTTGTTGGTCAAAAGCAGTTGACGGGCTGGCGATTGTTGAGTCGTTAGCAGTGCGTTGGCTCCACTTTTTTTGCTTTCTGTAAAATTTATTTTTCTTCTCTGCTCATCTAACCATTAATATGGTAATGCTGTCTTAAGGTTGACGTTTTTTGTCTCTGTTCTCGAAGTAGTAAATTTAATAAAAAATTGTAGGCCAAACAGTTTGGGTGATTAAACTATGGCTTACTTTTTTGGAAATGCCTTGAATCCAGATAGGTCACGCCAGCAAATTCAAGTAGCGCACCAAAAATGAAGAAAAGGCACGCTGAAATTTACTTTTTAAGTTTCTAATGGGAAAATACCAATTCAGATGCTAAATTATTGGTAAAAATCTAGTATTAGCGCGGAATACATAAAAATTGCATAAAAATAGCAACAATTTTTTTTAAAGCATCTTAAGTGGGTTTAAGTACTAAAACAAACGAGGTCTGTGTTAACCGACTAACCTCCAATCCATACATCAATAGCTTTCGTGTATGAAACTGGGGGAAGCTTTGCATTTATGCCAGATGCCTAAAAATTTCTATTCTACAAGCATTAGTTGAGAAAATTTTTTTCTTCTTGAATTTCCTCGCAAACTTTTTTTTTTTCTAAATTTTAGTCAAAATCTAAAATGTTAGTAATAATGGAAAATTGTAAGGTTTTCTAATATCCTTTTTTTAGAAGTATCAATCCGTTTTACCAAAGGCGAAGTCGCCACTCTCTGGTACTTTATTTTCTAGGGCCAATTTTTTTGAAGTTACCACTGCGTGATACGTGGAAAACAAAAAATTTTGCTTTTGTTGTTACTAACAGTCCTGAAAGTTGTGTAAACTAACGTACCTGAGTAGTCATTGTCAGCAGTGTTGTGACACCTAAAGTTACCCTTGCTGGAACAGCGGTACGGTCAAGCCAAAAAGATACCCAAGATACCACAACAAGCATCGAACTTGGACCATACACTTGCAGCAAATAGAAACTGAAATAGTGAAGTCGATATCTTACTTCAGAAATACAAAAAAAGAAAGATTTTTTGCTGACACATAAGCTGTTCTGGTCTTTTTAAGTAGAAAACCCGCCATTACATTTTGCAGTTGATCATTTCCCTTCTGTTTGTCAGACTTCTTCAGTTGAAATGTGGATATCTTCAGTCTAATCAATTGGAGAACTTCATTACTAAGGGCTAACAGGAGTGAAAGAAATTAAACTTTTTCAAATTTCACAGTGGTGATTTTTAAGTCTTCCAGAGACTATGCCACTGTTAGGCCGTTTACTTCATTCAGGAAATGCCTATTTTAGTTATATTTCAGTTCAAAAATTATGGTTTTTTGACTGCCTAATTCTAGTGTGATTCATATCAAGTCAATGAAATCTGCCTTAATTTTTCCAATTTTGCTTTACCGTTTGGGAGAGCTTTTTTTACCTTTCTTACCTTTTTGTTCTCAGGACTTTCAGCGGTTCACTGGCACTCTTTTGGAGTTTTTACAGAGAAACATTGATATACATTTATTTTAATTTGCATCAAAAGTAGTGGTGCTATTAAAAGGCTCTTAACTGAAGCACTTTGAAATTTTGTTCAAAAAAAAGATACCGTTACTATAAAATAATGGTAATCAAAAAACAGATTTGTTTGTCAAGAAGCAATAAAAATTTTAAAACAAAAGGGCTGTTATTGTGGAGCTGTACCTGAACTGTCGTTTTAAGTCTAGAACAACTCTTAAGCACGAGTATGATCCAGTGGCAGTTTTACTGGTACAATAGGTTGTATTTACAGCTTCAAGCTCAAAGCTTGGTAATGAACCAGCTAATTCTTGTTTCAGCTGTATTGGAGATTCTTTTGCCCAAGTATACTCTGTAATGCAAGAAAAAAAAAATTGAACATTATAACAATACAAGAAAAAAGTTAATGCGTGTTTAGTTAATGCATGTTTTAAAAAGAAACTTTTTTTTTTTT